CCAATTTGAAAATAGTCTCAACTTTATCTCCCATTTCATGTGTTCACCCAGTCCAGTAAGCCATTTGCCCCATCACTCCATCAGAATTGTTCTAGTAGGTAAGGTTATAAGTGACATATATGTTGCCAGGTCTATTTGTTGTTTTTGTTTTTTTGTTTTTAAGTTCTTTATTGAGCAGCATACACTTGACCATTTCTTCCTGAAGACACTTTTTTCACTTGACTACTCTGATAGCTCATTCTCCGAAATTTTCTCCATCCCCTGGGGCTATTTTTCAGTCTCTTGCTGATTCATCTTTCTCTGCGTGTTTAACCTGTAGATATTGGTATTGCTTAGCGTCTAGATCTGGGTCCTATTTTCTTTCTAAACTCCTTCAGTAATTTCATCCATTCCTGTGGCTTTAAATCACCTGTGTGCCCATTCTCAAATGTAGATGTTCAGCCTAGCCATTTCTTCTGTTTTCTCCTCTGGAAAGTTGTCTGTGACCCAGAAAAACTTGTATCTCAAAGGATAACTGTATTAATTATAATATTAATGGTAGTGAAATTATTATATTTCCTTCTCCTTTGACTTTCTCTAGATTTTCTATGTAACTTAGACATTTACAAAGCATTCTCAAGTATTTAATCTCATTTTGATACTCTGAACAACAGGCTTGAGCTCCTAGATGTCAGCTCCTAACTGGACTTCCAAACCCAGATGTCAGTCCTCTATATCAGGTGTCTTTAGGCTGTACTGTGCCATCTCATTTGAAGCAGAACATCTTAATTCTATCAGGGTTGACTGTGCTCTGGCTGTCAGGCATTTACCTATAGTGTCAATTTTCATCCTGCAGGTGGATTTGACATGGAAGTAAAAGGTTGGGGTGGAGAAGATGTTCATCTTTATCGAAAATACTTACATGGTGACCTGATTGTGATTCGGACTCCGGTTCCTGGTCTTTTCCACCTCTGGCATGAGAAACGCTGTGCTGATGAGTTGACTCCTGAGCAGTACCGTATGTGCATCCAATCCAAAGCCATGAACGAGGCCTCTCACTCACACCTGGGAATGCTGGTCTTCAGGGAGGAGATAGAGATGCATCTTCACAAACAGGCATACAGGACAAATAGCGAAGCTGTTGGTTAACGTAATCATTGGCACATTAGTCTGAACCACAAACCAGCACTATTTATTTAGCCTTAATTCCAATTCCAGATGCAGTGCCTCTTTCGGAGAAGACATGCTTATCTTTTGTGTTCTTTCTGACATTGTTTTACTTTAGCAGTTTAACTTGATATGAGAAGAAAAATCAAGTGTTTCAATGCAAAGCCTGTTTTGTGGGAATACCGTACTACAGAATCGCTGACAAATCGAAATCTGGTGTTTGCCCCAAAAGTAGTTTTTAGTTTCTACCCTGCACCCATGTTCTAATGTGCCCTGGTTACATCTGGGTTGAGGATGGAATGCGTTGTGCTCATGGTAGGTCAGGAGCATCCAGTTCCTGCAGAGAGGAAAGGGTTATGGATGCAGTGTATAGACATGGGTTCTTCACCTGCTGACCACTGAGTCAGCCTGCTTTTAAATTAAGATCTTTAGTCAGTTGCTTGAAGAATTCTTTTTCACTGAAGCAGAGGATGACTAAATAACACATCTGAAGTTCACAATCAGAAGAAATCAGAAATAAAAACCCCTTTAAACTGAATGTTGCTTAGCTCCCTGAATGTGTTTTTAAATAAATGGATGGTAGTAGAAAATACTTAGCTCAGAATCTATGACTTGATTAAAACTATAATGTTTTGTTACCATTATCAGGATTAGTAGTCAAAGTTTCTATAGATTGTTTTAAACAAATAAACATGGAAATGTCTTTAATAGAAAATTTAATTATGTTGGAGTACAGGGCACTAGTGATATCTGGGAACATCAGTTTACATGAGCCAGGGTGCTGTCGGGGCCTCCTTGTAGTTACAGATTCAGAAAAGATCAACATCACATGGTGTTTCGTGTTTTTTGCTTTGCATTGTCTTATTTAGCATGGATCCATATGTATTTATTATCCTTTTTTTCTAATATGTTAATATATGCTACATCTGTGTTTGTAATATTGTGATACTTTGAGTTGACAGAGTTTCACTAAAGGGAGAAAAAACAATTTAATAAGGTATACCATAAAATTACACTGATTTGAGAAAAGAGGTGGATGAGAAGATGGTCTGAATGGAAATCTGAATTGCAAAATATTTTAAAGAACTATATTGTTTGCAGATAGAATAAAATTTTAATTGAGGTATAAATTATGTTAATGAGACAAGATGAATAAGAAGTTATATTCAGATAGGACTGTACTATGTTATTTATCACACATGGATCTTTTACCATAGGTCCATTGCTAGATCCAGAAATTGGGAGATATGGTGAAAGGCATGCACAGATTTTGAACCTTTGGCTTTTAAAAAGGACCTATATTGTATCCTTTCTATTTGTATATAAACACCTGAAAATTCACAGAAGAAAAATCATTACTCTTTTTACTCAGTAGATCATATCATCTGAAATATAAATCCCAAATTTCTTGGTGCTACATGAATTCATTTTACAGTAACTCTTAATGAATTATTCTTACAAGTTTTAAGTTGGGTAGCATTTAGGCTTTTTTAAGATGTGTAAAATGTTCTCTGCAGAATTATTCAGGCCAATATCTCCTTTTATATACAATTATTTATTATGAAGACCAGTGAGTTTAGGTATTTAAAGTGAGAGAACCTAATTATTTGCAAAGGTAAGTTGCAGCTTGTTTTTTGACAGAATCAAATGACTTTACCTTAATGAGCTTTTAATTTAAAGATGGAAGCTAAGCAATGGAAACAGTGTATACTGTGTTTTTGACATTAAACGGTACCAATAAAGTATTTTATTACCAAAAGTTAAATGAAAATGTGATAAATTAATTTATGTTGCAAAATACCATAAATACAAAAAAGTATATAACATGTAATTGTGTACTTTAAAGAATAATAAAGCAGGGCACCTGGGTGGCTCAGTCGTTAAGCGTCTGCCTTCGGCTCAGGTCATGATCCCAGGGTCGTGGGATTGAGTCCCCCATCAGGCTCCCTGCTCGGTGGGAAGCCTGCTTCTCCCTCTCTCACTCTCCCTACTTATGTTCCCTCTCTCGCTGTCTCTCTCTCTCTTAAAAAATAAGTAAAATCTTTAAAAAAAAAAAAGAGTAAGAAAGCAAACAGCTATGCAGATTAAGTGCACCAGCTACCAAGACTAAGATAACATTATCAGTGAAAGGCCTTTGCATGCCCCTTCCTGATCACACACCCTCACTCTCCATAATAGTAACCATTCTGATTTCTGTGATAGTTTTTCATTTGTTTTTCTTAGTTTTCCCAACTGTGTCTGTACCTCTACCCAAAAGACTGTTCTGCCTGTTTCTGAATTTATATGCACATTATTTCATTATATATTTTCTAACTTTCATTCAGGATTATATTTTTGATGTTCATTCATGTTAGTCTCAAAATTCGTTTTTATTACTGACTAGTATTCCACTGTATGAATATACTGAATATTCAGTAATTCTTTTTTTATAGATATTTGGGTTCATAGTTTTTTGTTGTTTACTTTTGCTATCAGAAGCAGTATTGTCATGAATACTGCTTTACATGTGTCTTGTAAGTGTACAAGAATTTCTCTAAGAGTAATGATGCTGGGTCATCGATTGTGTGTACGTTCAGCTTCCTTTCCAAAGTGGACCATCTCTAGCACTGTGAGACAGTTCATTTTGCATCCTTGGCAACACTTAATTTTGTCAGGTTTATTAATTCTTGCTAATCTAATAGACCTTAGGCATGAATTGTAGTTACAGTTTGCATTTCAGTCCTCTTGCCCATTATTATCAGTTCTTAGGAATTCTTCACGTATTCTGGATACCAATTTTTATTGGTTAAGTATCTTTTCGCAGGATGTGGCTCGTCTTTTCCCATTCTTGATGGTACTTTTTCATTAACAAACATTAACTCTAATGTGACTGATTTTTTTTCTTTTATGTATTCTACTTTTTATTATTGATTTATGATATATTAAGGAAAGATAAAGCTATTGTTCTATATTGTCTTCTGAATACCTCATATATAGCTTTGCTTTTCCTAGTTAGGTCTTTAACCCAACTGGAAGAACTTTTTGTGTATGACATGAGGTAAGGATTGCATTATACTTTTTTCCATCATCACCTTACAACATAGTCCATATTTTACCTGCAGAACCACTCTCACCCATCAGATGTCCAAATGCACAGGTCTGATTCTGGGCTCTCATCTGTTCAATCAGGCTTTCTGTCCATCACCATACCATTACATCATGGTCTAAATTACTATAACTTTGTACAAGTCAGTGTCTCTGAGAGCTAGTCCACTTGCCTTATTCTTAAAGATTGTTATGGTTCTTTGTAGCCCTGGTACTTTGACATAAATTTTTGAATAAGCTACTTAAGTTTCACAAAACTTTCCTGAATTTGGAATCTCATTGAATCTATAAGATAACTTTGGGGAAAATTTACATCTATGATAGAGTCTTCTAATCCTCGAACATGACATGTCTATTTAGGTCTTTATTGTCTTTCAATTAAATTTTATACTTTTTCACACAGTGGTTTTACATGTCTTATTTTATAGATTTTTCCCAGATACTTTGCATTTTATATGCCATTGTAACTATCTTTTATTTTTTTATATTGTCTGTTGCTGGTATTTAGAAGTCCAGTTGCTTTTGTGTTCAGCAACCTTGCCAAAATGCTTAATTCTAGTAATGTATTTCTAGTTTCTTTTGTATTTTTTCTATTATGCAATCATATTAGTGAAAATTTTGTTTCTTTTCAATTTTTATATCTTTATTTTTCTTGTCTTACTGTGCTTATTGGGATTTATTGTGCAGTGTTGATTGGAAGTGATGATAGTGGACTTCCTGCCCATGTTTCTGATTTCAAGGGGAACATTCTCAGTGTTTCATCAGTAAGTATGATATTTGCTGGAGGTGTTTTTATAAATACCCTTTATCAAGTTAACAGTTATTTGATATTACTACTTGGTGAGTTTTTATCATGCTTAAGAGCATTTATCAAATACTTTCCCTGTATCTGTTGAGATGATCATATGATTTTTTTCCATCTTTGATATGTTAAATTGAGTTAGTTTTCTGAAGTATCCTTGCATTCATAGGGTAAACTCCAATCTTTCATGATATATTATCCTTATTATACATTGCTGGATTCGGGGTGTTTGTGCATATGCGCACACACATACTTCATTTGCATATCTGTATATATATTCGTGTGGATGGGTGTGTACATGTATATATATTTCAGGTGTTTTTCATCTGTGTTCATGAGTAAGAATGCCCCTTCTCATGCTTGTTGGGCTTTTTTTATTAAGGTTATGCTAGCCTGTAAAGTAAGTTACAGGTGTTCTTTCTTACTCTTTTCTAAAGAAGTTTTTTAAGACTGGAATTACTTCTTCCTTAAGTATTTGGCAGAACTACCTGAAAGCCACCTGACCGTGAAGTTTTCTATATGGGAAGATTTCTGATCACTGGTTCAATTTATTTAATGATTGTAGAACTATTCAGATTTTCTATTTCTTTTAAAGTCAGTTTTGGGGTGCCTGGCTTTCACAGTTGGTAAGCGTCTGACTCTTGGTTTCGGTTCAGGTCATGATCTCAGGGTCATGAGATCGAGCCCAGCACTGGGCAGTGTCCATCACCCAGCCACCCCATCCCTCCCACCCCCCTCCACTCCAGCAACCCTCAATTTGTTTCCTGAGATTAAGAGTCTCTTATGGTTTGTCTCCCTCTCTGGTTCATCATTTTAAATCTTTTTTTGAAAAGTCAGTTTTGATTGAGTTATTTTAGGTAAGGTGCAATCTTTTAGGAATTTATAATAAATTTGAAAATTTAGATGAAATACACAAAGTTGTTTAACAATATCCTCTTATTATCTTTGTAATATGTACAGGATCTATAGTGATAGCCTTTCTTTCATTCCTGGTATTGTTTATTTGTGCCTTTTGTTTTTCCTTGATTAACCTTATCAGAGGCTGGCCAGTTTTTTCAGTCCTTTCAAATAACTGATTCCTACCAGCCACATATGAGGGATCCAGTTGTGTCACATTGTCCCAACACAGTATTTTCAGTGTTTTCAATTTAGACTTTTTAATCCTGTTGAGTGTGTACAGTTATCTCATTTTGGTTTTATTAGTTTATCACTAGGGAAATGATATTAATTATCTTTTCATATGCTTATTGGCCATTTGAGTATCTTCTTTTGTGAAATGCCTAGTAAAATTTTCTTGCCTTTTTTTAATTACCTTTTTTTCAAGATTTTATTTATTTATTTGACAGAGTGAGCACAAGCAGGCAGAGCGGCAGGGAGAGGGAGAAACAGGCTCCCTGCTGAGCAGAGAGCCCAATGCGGGGCTTGATCCCAGGACCCTGGGATCATGACCTGAGCCAAAGGCAGACACTTAACTGACTGAGCCACCCAGGTACCCCTTAATTGCCTTTTTTTAAATTGACTGGTAGGAGTTACTTCAGTATTCTGGATGTGAGTCTTTTGTCAGATTTATGTATTGCAAATATCTTCTCCTAGGCAGGGGACTATTCATTCTCTTAATGAATGTGTTAATAAACAAAAGCTCTTAATTTTAATAATGTCCATTTTATCATTTTCTTATATGGCTAGTGATTTTGGTATCCCAATTTAAGAAACCTTTGTCTAAAGTAACTTTGACAAAGAAAACTTTGTCCAAAGTAAAGAAGAAATTTTCATATTTTCTTTTAGACACTTTATTGTCTATAAGTTCCCTTTCTCACCTTTGTTGAGCCTTTCATACTTAGATCTACGATGCATCTGGAAATAATTTCTGTATATAGTATATGATTCAACCTTTAGAATTTCTTTTAATGAAGGTCTGCTGATAGCAAACTCTATTTGGTTTTTAAGTATCTTTATCTCATTTAAAAAATATTTTTTGAAGGGTATAGAATTCTAGGTTGGGATTTTTATTTTTTATTTTTTTTAGCACTTTGAGGTTATTCTACTGTCTTCTGGCTTCAATTATTTCCCTTGTAAGTTACCAGCTTAACAGTTGATACTCCCTTGAAAGTAATCAACCTTTTTCCCTGATTGCCTTCAGGATCTCCTCTTTATTTCTGTTCTGTGTCACTATGATATGTCTGTGTGCTGGCTTTTTTTGTTTGTTTGTTTTTTCTGATCCTGCTTGAGATTCTTTGGGTTCCTTGAATTATTATCTTTTATCAATTCTGAAAGATTTTCAGCTATTATATTTTGATTGTCTCTATCATTCTCTCTTTCTTTCAAAAGCTCTGATAACATGTCAGACCTGTTGTTGTGTCCACCATGCCCTTTATGTTTCTTAACCCATTTCATATTTTCCAGTCTTTTCTCTCTGTGTTACATTCTGGTAATTTCTTCAGAATTACAACCAAACGAATTTGAGGAAGAACCTCTATTTTTCAAGAAATGAAAATGAATTTTAAAAATCCAACAGGTGGATTAAACAGACATAGCTAAGGAGAGACTTTTTAAACTAGAATCTCAGAATGTTTGTTTCTACTGGCTAACTTAGGGATGGTACCCATAGTTCAGAGCCATGTTAAACTAGATTTTCAGCTTAACGTTTTTTTGACCAGTGTGATGTTTGCTGCAAAACTTAATGAAATTCACTGATTTGTGGTTACAAATTATCAGTGATAAGTTTTCCCAACTTCTATTCAGTGCCAAGGTAAAAAACAGGCAGTTTTCTTTAACCCTTTGGTGGGGTTGGGGGAGGAACATTTTATTTCAAGTTCACTGTTACGGTGAGGGGTGGTTCTTTGGGATGTCAGCTTTATGGGCTGGGGTCTCCTATTTGACCCCTCTTCTTGAACAGGCCCAGCACTTTCTTCTCTATCCCCATGTGGACTTGAAAATGGAAGCTCATAATCCTAGCCCTCAGGGCAAAAGCTGGCTTCAGAGTTTTCTTTACCTCTCTGGGTTTTTGCTTGGATATTTACATTTTGCATAACTTTAGCAGCTGATTTCAGCAGGCAAGCACTTACTTAGTCTGATGCTGCCAGAAACAGGTGCATAACTTTCTTATATTCTTTTTTTTTTTCCTAAGATTTTATTTTTAAGTAATCTCTATACCCACGGTGGGGCTCAAACTCAAAATTCAAAGACCAAGAGTCACATGCTTCACCAACTGAGCCAGCCAGGTGCCTAATTTTCTTATATTCTTGACAACACTATTTCCTCAACGTTGTTGCTGAAGATCCATACCTAAGAGTTTAAGGTATGTTACAATAGATATTTGGTAGAGGGGGATGGCAGCCCTTCACCTTCCTTGCAGTATCATGACTTCCTTTTTGGGAATAAACATAGAAATTGTGGGGGCGCGTGGGTGGCTCAGTCGTTAAGCGTCTGCCTTCGGCTCAGGTCATGATCCCAGGGTCATGGGATTGAGCCCCGCATCGGGCTCCCTGCTCAGCGGGAAGCCTGCTTCTCCCTCTCCCACTCCTCCTGCTTGTGTTTCCTCTCTCGCTGTCTCTCTGTCAGATAAATAAATAAAATCTTTAAAAAAGAAAAAAAGAAATTGTGTTGGTATGATCTAAAGTTACTAGCCTATATGTGGGTAGTAGGTTTTTCATTTAGAAAGTAGTTTTGAATCCCAAATTTGTAGGAATTTTTTCCCATATATGTTTATATACTGATTAAATTTAACACAAGTGACTCTTTAGTAATGTTAGAATATATTTCTATTGACCAGGACTTCAGTTGTTCCTTTGAGAAGATCAGTTATAATTCTTTGTTTCACTTTTTCCAGGAGATTCTGCTTTCTGCAGGAGAAGTGGGGTTCGGTTTCATCAGGGGTGCCACTGCTAGTACCCAGCTAACCCTGACTGCCTCTGATGAACCAGGTACTGCACTTTCTGCCATGTGTCATTACAACAACCCCATGAGACAGAGAATATTGTAATTTCCTTTTAACCCTGAGAAAATGGAGGCTTTAAAGAGTAAGCAACTTTTTCCAGGATACCCAGCTAGGAACAGGAAACTAGGACTCAAATCCAAATAGTTTAACTTCTGATTCCTTGCTCATATGCTTCTCCTGTCTTGCCTCCCTGGGGAACATGACATACACTTTATGTACAGGTGTAGTGGGTATATATTTCACAAATAATCTTAGTTTTGTCACAGAAGTCTCTATGGCCTTAGGAGAGATCCTTAGCTTATTTCCTGTCACAGCTGATACTGTAACATAGATTTTTATTCCTGAAATGTCTGTGTGAAGTGACGGGTAGCATTCAGTCATCACATGGTGTGGTAGGAGCTGCACACCATGCTAGTCGTTGGCCACACAGCTGCACAAGGGGCTCCTACACAGAAAGCCAAGAGTAATGGGGGAGACAGATGCCAGTGATGTGTTGTGAGAGAACAGGTAGGGCCCAGAGGAGCATGGAGCACCGCTCACCAGGGAAGCTGTAAGGAGATTCTGGAAGAATGTACGTGCGGACGGGACCATGCTATATTAGAGGAGGTGCATGGTGGCGTGGAGGTTCAGTGTGCCTGTGAAGCAGACTGCACCTGGGAGAAGTGGGCTGTACCTGGGGCAGCGGTCTGTGAGGGTCGGCAGGAGAGCTTCCCAAACGTGCTGGACTCCCCACCCCCATGTTTCCCCTTCAGCGAGCCTGCAGTGGGGCCCTGAGAACAGTCTGAGCAAGTTTCCAATGCTGCTGACACCGCTGTCGAAGAGCCACAACTTAAGAAGCACTGCCTTGGAGGGACCACCCCGTGGGTGAAGGAGAGCACCACAGCTAGCCAGGTGAGTTCAGCACCCACTCCCAGCCCCAGCTCCATGGCCAAGGCCCACACCAAATGATGGGCTGCCCCTTCTTCAGCTGAGCTAGGTAGAAACTTCCAAAAGTAACTTTACCAGGAAATTAAGAATTCCATTGAATTATAAAGACCTAAAAAATGTTGTCATTTACCCAAAACTCACTTAGGCATCCTCACAGATGTCTCATTTGCTCCACAAACACCTAAGCACCTATTGTGTGCCACCCACTCCACAAGCCACTGGAAGGGCAGCAGGTGACAAAGCTCCACCGGCCTAGCCTTCTGTCCAATACAGTGGCCATTAGCTATTTAAACCTAAATAAAATTAGAAATTCCATTCCCAAGTTGCATTGGCCACATTTGAGTGCTCAGTACCTATATGTAAATAGCAGGGCAGATACAGAGCACTCCAGCACAGAAAGTTTTCTGTTGGGCAGTGCTGGTCCAATGGGCATTTAAAAATGCACTGAGTTAGCTCTAAGGGAGCAGGGTGAGGGTCGTTGAGCTGTAGAGTAGATCTCATGCAGCCTGAGCATTGTTGACGGAGTGGTAGTAGAACAGGCTGGAGAGGAACAGGTAGGAGTTTGCCTTCCATTCTAGTGTCTCAGTTCTTTTCCTTCAATTCCACACTCATGTGTGCCTTTCAACAAATCCCTTTCTTTAGTGTTCTTGAATGTGACTCATCACAATGAAAGAGCACCATCTAGAACTGCATTCTGCAAACTGTTCTGCAGAAAGATGTCAGGAGGTGTCCCCAACCTCCCCTGCCCCAGGAGAGACCCACAGTGCCCATGGACACTGACGGTTCTGACCAGTCCTGCAGTAAAGGAGCCTTTACGATCTTATTTAAGTTAGGTTTCCCCAACTTACAGGGCCATGTGATACAATCAGCTTGTGATACACTTTTGGATCTTAGTTTGAGGAAAGCAGACTAGAACATGCCTCTTGTACACTTTGTCTTGTTTTGCATTATTTATTTGAAAAGCCCTTTGTCAGAATGTGTTGTGTAGATGAGAGTTCCTTGCTCATTTGAAAGGCCATGGAGGACCCAGACATCCCCACATGTCCTGCCAGCAGCCAAGCCATCAGGCCTCGCCAGCTACGCAGAGAGAGCAGGCAGGCAAGGGGAGCAACATGTTCTTTTATTGATGCAAGTAGGTCCAGTAACACCAACAACTGACATCCTGCATTATGGTACAGCTTTGTACTCAGAGCTCATCTCAAAATACCAAAACATCATAGGGTGTGTATCAAATTGGGAAAATAAAGTAGCAAACATAGACACTGTATCCCATAGGTACTAGAACTGATGACCCAGTGGAACGCACACTGACATGAAAGCTCCTTAACGCAAGACGGAAAGTGTTCTAACATTGTATTCCAAATATATATTCTCAAGTTTTTAGCCTTTCTTTGTCTCAAATACATAAAGCAATATGTCCTATCAAGATACAATATGTACTATCTAGAATGTCTGAAAAGTGCGAAAACACTGTGACAATACAGTGTAAATATTCTTGCTCCACCCAGGGCTGAGGGCGCCCCTTCCTGAGGCCTCACCTCCACATCTCCAGGCTCTCCCAGGAGCTTTGGGAATTAGCAACTAACTGCAGGCTCCTGTGGGAGGAAGCCAGGTGTGCGGAGAGCAACAAGGGTGCGTAGCTCCAAATCTGCTTGTGCAGAATGAAAGCCCCACTGTGAGGGAGAGAGAATCCGAGCGGTGGCCCGCCTCTGGCTTTTGAGGAACCAGGACTCGCCATCCCACAGCCAGAAAGACAGAAAATGGGAGTGTACTCAAGTTTGGATGTGGAAAATACTTCCAAATGCTGGGCAGTTTTATGTGAGTGGGCTCCAGCAGTCGGTCTAATTTTCTGTTTCAGATTCCCTTAGGGGAGCCCCCCAACCTAGAGGAACGGAGGCGGCAGTCCACTAGAATACCAATTTGTGAGTTGCTTCTTTTCACTTTGTAGTGGAGTTTGAAGAACTGCTTTAAATGTCCCCATCCTCATATGCTCGTCATTACAGCTCAGTGTACCTGTTACAGCCTGGAAAACAGACAATTCCATCACCTTCCCCCTATATTATTTTAGATTTTCTCTTTTCCTAAAATGTAGTTGAACAATTTGCCAGACGTATTCCAACAGAAAATATGCTGCCAGGTATCCCCCTGCCCCTCCCCAATCCCCTAAATCCCTGATAAAGGAAAATGAAAATGTAAACGTTGGAAAGCCTGTACTCAAGGTTTGCTTCTAGAAGTATGCAAATGAGGCCCCCTGGCCAGCCAAGCCCTTCTTGCTGGAACCCCTCTGGCCTAGGCTTTGAGGGCAGGTGCCTTGTGGCCCAGGGCAGAGCTTTCCTGGCATTTCCCCGGCGGCACTGGCTGCCTGAGGGCTAAAAGAACGGAGTGGGAGACCGGCCCTCCAGTACTCTCTAAGGCACTAACCCCGACATCAGAGACACTGGCTAGAAGGGCGTCCAAGCAGGCAGGGCTCACATTGGTTTTGGTTGGGTTTTTTTTTTTAATATTTTTTCATAAGATGTTAATAATCAAAAGTAGAAAATAAAAATCTACATTTCATTAGAATAAGATGTTATCATGGATGCCATCTCCCATGATACTCTTTCCCCACCCCTCCCCGAAGCAGGGCCCTGCCCTGTTATTTAAAATAAACGACAAAAAAAAAAAAAAAAAACTTTGTAAGTGCCAAAGGTTGATGCATGAAATAATTTTTTTTTTTCCATAAAAGTTATATACAAAATGGACCCCAACCAGTGAGGCCTCCTCATCTCAACCCTTATCAATCAAGATTAAAACTCAGTGCATGTGTGTGCTTCATCCAGCGTCGGCAGGCTGCATCCGTGCCTTCAGGCTCTGTTAAGGAGAGTGGTCCTAGAGGTAGGCAGGGCACAAGGAAATGGTGAGGTGGTTGGGTTGGCAGGCCCTTCCCCGAGCAGGCAGAGGGCAGGCCACGCTATTTGGGGGGGACCGGGATTCTAAGAACCAGCCATCAGGGGAAGGGTCAGGGACACTCAGACCCAAGTCCTCAGCCTCCCACTGACTGGCAGCCTGTGTGGAGTTACCCCTGGCTGCCTTTCAGAAGGGCAGATCCATCATGCTCCCCAGTCCTCTCCCTTCCTGTAGGTCCAGGCATAGGACTGGTCTCAGAGGCTCACAGGCCTGTCCCTGGGGTTTTCTTACCTGAGAGTCTTCCAGCTATCTTTTTCCATGTGGTTTTCAGGACCTTCACTTTCAAAGGAGGCGATGAAGAGAGCTGAGAGATGAAAAGCTCCTCAGAACCCATGTGCACGTACGGTCAGTCTGCCTACCACACGTTATCCCTTCCTTTCTAGGGGAGCAGCTGGGCCCAGGCAAAGACAGTGACCTCTGGTCTGAGCTTTTCCACAGGTCTCTGTTGCCTGGGGTTCCAGGCCCCATGAGGTCTAGAGCTCCCAGCTTCCTGCTTAGGGACTGAGAAATTTCCTGGTTCTACAGCACGAACCCAGCCCTGTTCTGGTTCCCTCCCAGAGCCCCATCTCTCGTCTTCATCCTGTTCTGTACCCACAGCCCACCCTCATGTACTCACCCATGTGGGCTGAGCTTCCCCTGTGTAGCATGGGGACAGTGATCAGGCCTGCCTCCCAGGGCAATGCCATGAGGGCAGACGCCCTGGATGTGGGGGAGTCAGGGTGACATGTACAGTGTAGGGAGGTGGGTGTGCTGCCATGGAGAGCTGGGCCTTACCTTCCTCGCTGTAGATGGGTGCCGTGAGCAGGTAATTCTGAATCTTCTTGTCCTTCTCAAAGGGACACTCTACCTGAGTCCATGTCATGAACTCATGGATCTGTCTGGAGATCTCCCAAAATTTCTGAAGATAACAGAAGACCAACTGGCTGTTCATTTGTCACCTTAAGCTTGAAATCCTTGGTTAGGACAAGGGATATAGGTTCTGATTTCATTCTGCATCCCAGCAAGATGGGACAGTGACCCTACTCAGCTGACTTTGTGGCCACGGCAGCACCTGATGCAACATCAGAGCCAGTAAGTGTCCCTAAGACCACTCTGTCCTGCCTAGGCCATCAGGCTGCAGCGAGGTCTGTGCCTCCCCTATGCAAGACCCAAGAAGGCCCCATCTGGGACTCCAGGCTGAGGCAGGTATGCCAGCCACACCCAGCAGAGCACCAACCAGAACATGCCATGATCTCTGTTCAGGGCCTGTGTAAGGGTCCCTAACGCCTTCCTACCCTTACCTGTGTGAGGTCAACCCTGGACAACCCCACTTCCCCTACACCTCCCCAGTCACTTTTGTCCTACTTTCCACCCTTCGCTTCCATCTGGAAATCTGCCGCCTCCTCCTCCCTGCTCAGGTCCCTTCTTGCCTAATGAAACCTCCAGGAGCAGCCCCTTCTCGGTCTCCCTATTAGGGTCAGTTTGGGGACCAGGATCCTGGGTAAATACAAATTTCCTGTGGCTCCAAGCCCTATAACCAGATCTTCCACCCAGAAGGATTTGGGGAACCCACCCTGGAGCTTTCAGTCCTAAAGGCTTTCTGCGACAGGGCCACTGCCTTGGAGCGCTGGTGGCCCAGGTTCTGCCTGCCCTAGGATGAGGCTGAGGGTCTGTTCTGCCTTGGGTTGGGACAGTCTGGCCCCCTTCCCCTCAGACCACAGGGGGGCTGAGCTCACCTTGAAGTTAACATGCCCATTGGGCAGGTGGTTGGTATGGATCTTGTGCAAGAAGTAAATGTCCTTAACGAAAAGGTTGAATACAGGGATAACAATCTTCTCTCGGCTGCTGTTGGCCATCTGGGACCTTTGTGTGGCCCCCTGCAGGGCGGTGCGGTAGTTGCAGAAGTTGCTGGATGGGTCCATGTGATGCTGTGGGCAGACAGGAGGACGCGGTGGGCAGTGTGTTCTCCCTGCACCTGTGACTTGCTCAGAATGCCCCTTTGCAGAGTGGAAAGTGATGGGGAAGGCCCTTCCCCACTGGGCAGCCCTGGACTGTCCTCAGAAGAGGCCTCCTTTCTAGGAGTGAGCACCTGGCTCAGTACAGGGTTTGGGTCCAAGCATCATCAGGAGAGTTAAAGAGAAGTCTCACAACTCACACACACACCTCTCCCCTGCCCTGCTGAGCCTGGGTCTCACCTTTTTTCCTTTCAAAACCTTCCTTGCCCCTCTACGTGGACCAGCACCTCCCAAACCTGATGGGCTCCATGAGACGTTTGCAGAAAGTGGATTCTGGGATCAAATACATCGGGGAAGGCTGGAAGTGAACCTGCCTGTCCACTCCTGGGCCACCCAGATGATCCAGGACCACAGGAATTCAAGCCAGGAAAAGGCCAGCTGGCTTAGCATCACCCAGCACAGGGCTCACAGGCCCACTTTTGTCAAACTGTTTCTTAAGCACTCTCCAGAACTTGCTTTAGGCAATGCCAGTTATGACTAAAGTTCCAAAGGCCGAGGAGGGCTTCAGGTACCCACCTCCTAGAGCAGCCAGGCCAGCTCAACATGCCCTACACCAGATGGCATTGTGTGCAGTGGGTTCTGAGCAAGGGGGCAGAGCATGATGGGAGGCCCACCCCTCCTCAGGCCAATGTAGGACGAGGCTGAGGTGCCTACCTCCAAGACATCAAACTTGGCCGTCTTGACTTTGGACCACGTTTTCTTCAGCCTCGCCACAGGACTGAGGTTCATGCCAGCTGCAGGGAACAGCAGGTAGGGTCAGGGCGGGGGTAGGCAAGCCATGCAGAAGCTGGACAGGAAGCCCCTGGGGCCTGGACACTCACAGATGATGGCCATCATGGAGTTGAAATTCCCGATGTTGAAGCACTCCCGGGCCACATCAATAAAGAACTCTAGCATGCGGGTCCGGTGCTTCTTCTTCACCACCTTGAGAGCAGCCAGACAGCCTCAGGGTGAGCCCACCACAGGAGCATCCCCTCCACCACCTGTCCCTGAAGGGCAGCCTGGACAGGAGCTACTCTGGGCCCTGAGCCATCCGACCCAGGCCTGGGGAGATGCTCGAGGGCTGCAGAGGCAGGAATGCAGCTGTGGCATTTTCGATGCTGGGCAGAGGGGCAGGAGAGCAGTCTGAGAGTACTAAGGGAGCCCCACATGGACTCCCGGACCGTGCTGGTGCACTCCACGGATGGGGGTCTCACAATCACTGTGGATTGGCCGGGGGCGGGGGGGAGGGTTAGGGGTAACAGGGATGTTGGTGGCCCTGGCAATGAAGGCTTCTGTCTCCACTTCCAAAGTTTCATCATCCAAGGGGTACAGAAGTCAGAGCCTCAGGCAGCCCTGTGGGTTCAGAGAAGTGACAGTGCCACCCCACCCATATGGGCCACGCAGCGCTTACCCGGCACACCTCGGTGGCCACTAACATGCTAAGGCAGTTGAACCAGTTGTCATAGGCCTCCAGGCTATAGGTCTTGGTCAGGTCCCCTCGGCACTGGTGGAACACGACAGGTCACAGGGAGTCTGAGGACCCTGCCAGCAGGTGCAACCCCAGTCCTACCCCCAGAAATGAGCGGGAGCCATGGCCAAAAGAGACTGAAGACGATGGTGGGGTGTGGGCAGCTGGACAGGTCCAGGTCTCCCAGGACGCCCCCTCCCCAGGCTCCTGGGAACACTGGCCCCCTTCCAGTATGTATCACCCTGCATTGCTGTCTGCTGACCCTCTGAAGCAGGTACCAGGACAGACCCATATCCATTTGGTTGTGAGGCCCCCACCTCCCATGGGGTATATATAGGTACCAGGCCCACCCTAAGGCCACCCCAGAGCACACAGCAGACCCTCACCCTGTGCTTGTCCCGAGAGTCCATGTGGCTGACAATCTGCATCAGGTCCTCAGGGTGAATGCTGCTGACCCTCTCCTAGGATGGGCAAGGAGATAGCACAGGAGGGTGACAAGCCTGCCATTTTTGGGCAGGCCCCACACTCAACGTCTAGGCCACATTCAGAGTAGTAGTCAAGACCTTCTTGCAGGCGAGTACCACAGCCCCGCCTTGGTCAGAGCACCCACCCAATGGGCAGGCCCTGCCTGCCCCCCCCCCCAAGTGTAACCCCCCACCAGGGGTCTGAAAGACCCTCCCTTGGGAAGGGAGGAAACGGCGCTTCATGGGACTGAGGCGGAAGCCTTGGGGCAGTGGCTGCTAGGTGCAGGGTACCTTCCCAGCCCACAGCACAGGCAAGATGAGGTGACGGTGGGGGGAACTGACTCTTCCCCCAAGCCCTTCACCTCCTGGGTCAGTCCTCCATCCAGGGGCCACTGCAGTTCCCAGCACCCCAGCCCCTCCCATGTACACAGGGCTGCTGTGATCCGGGGACCCAGAGGCGGTGGTTGGAGCTGGCAAGTGGGCTTCACCTGACACCCCCGTCTGGCCAGCTGGGGAGGCCCCGCAGCACTGTGTTGAAAAAGATGCTGGGGGGGTGGGGTCCAGTGGCCTTGAGTGAGCACTGGTGAATACACCCCCACCCGAGGCAGGGCACACGGCAGCACTGACCAGCTCAATATGAGTCAGCTGCTGAGCCAGCACCAGGGGGTCGCAGCACATGCCCAGGATGTCCTTCTGAGTGGCTGGTGGCTTAGCCTTGAGGACAGACCCTTTGTCCATGGCTGGTGAGCGGAGCTTCTCCCGCAGCTCCTGAAGCTGGTTTCGGGCAGCTAGGGACAGCAGCAGGCTCTGTGTCATTTGGGCAATGGCCTTCTTCACTGTGCCGTTCTCCTGTGGGGGCAGGGGACAGTGAAGGTGCTGGTGTGGGCTGACAAGACCAGCACCTCTCCCAAGGAACCTATCTCCTAAGGATATGCCTAACTTTGAACCCACATCCCTACTCAAACCTGCCATGAGCATTTGGGCCTTTGAAGACAGAATGAAATATAGTGTGAGCTGCTCTGAGTACAGCTGAGGGTGGCTTAGCTGGCTACCCTGTGGGGATGGGAGCTGAGGGCCAGGCCAAAGCCAGGGGTAGGCTTCTGGGTCTGAAAACCATGGCTTTCCCCAGGGGTGTCCAGCTGAGAAGCTACTATTGGCCTTCCCACAGCTGGGGGGGGGGGGGAGGAGGTTCGTCCACAGTAGGGAAGAGAGTATCTGGAAGGGCTTCCTGCAGGACCAGGAACCTTCACTCCCTGGGTGGGAGCAGCCCTGGCCCTGCCCAGAGCTCTCCCTGGGCTTTCTGAGCCCTCCAGCCAAACAAGCTGCTGAGCACACAGCACTTCCCAGGTTTCCTGTCTCCTCAAAAGGCCAGGAGTGTGCTGGGGGCCAGAAATGCAGGCAGGTTCTTACAACCTCTTCCTAGGTTCCCACTCCACTCACCCCAAACCCAGGAAAGGGTGAGGCCTGGGCTCATTCCAGCCCACCACTCAGGCCACAGGGT